TGGTCATTACACCATTCAAGTTCCTCAACAGGTTCAGGCTACCAGGGAAGTGCAAAAGGCTACAGCTGAATTCATGGCTGCATGGAATGAAGCTGCACGTCGGGCAACTACTGTACAGCATGCTATGTATTCTGTACCTCAGCCAGTCCAGCCAACTGAAGAAGTTCGACAAGCTACTGCTGAGTTCATGGCTGCTTGGGAAGCTGCTGCACGGAGAGCATCTGCTATTAGACAAGCAGTGAGTGTGACTGCTGATCCTTATTCTGCAGCACCAAAACAGGTAGAGGCTACTGAGGAAGTTAAGAGAGCCACAGCTGAATTCATGGATGCTTGGAATAAGGCTGCAGCTAGAGTAGGAGCCATTCAGACTACTGTTTACCAAGTAGCAGGTACTGTACCAGCTGCTGCTCCTGCTCAAGCTTCTGGTTCAGCTCCTCGCTTCACCCCATCAGTGGAACAAGCAACTGCTGAATTCATGAAGGCATGGAATGCTGCTGCTGCTGCCGCTGCAGCTGCTCCTGATGTCAATATCATCATGGGTGCTAGCTCTCTTCCCAGGACTCCTGCTCAGACTGTTGTATACCAAGCACACTCTGTTGGTACCCCATCTGCTCCTTCCTCTTTCACTCCAGCTGCTCCTGCTGTACCTTCATATGGAGCTCCCCAGCCAGTTCAACCTACTCCGGAAGTTCAGAGAGCAACTGCAGAATTCATGGCTGCATGGAATAAAGCTGCTGCACGAGCAACCAAGATTCAGTCAGTCTTAGTTAAGTCTGGAACTCCTGGTCATTACAACATTCAGGTTCCTCAGCAGGTTCAGGCTACCAGGGAAGTGCAAAAGGCTACAGCTGAATTCATGGCTGCATGGAATGAAGCTGCACGTCGGGCAACTACTGTACAGCATGCTATGTATTCTGTACCTCAGCCAGTCCAGCCAACTGAAGAAGTTCGACGAGCTACTGCTGAGTTCATGGCTTCTTGGGAAGCTGCTGCACAGAGAGCATCTGCTATCAGACAAGCAGTGAGTGTGACTGCTGATCCTTATTCTGCAGCACCAAAACAGGTAGAGGCTACTGAGGAAGTTAAGAGAGCCACAGCTGAATTCATGGATGCTTGGAATAAGGCTGCAGCTAGAGTAGGAGCCATTCAGACTACTGTTTACCAAGTAGCAGGTACTGTACCAGCTGCTGCTCCTGCTCAAGCTTCTGGTTCAGCTCCTCGCTTCACCCCATCAGTGGAACAAGCAACTGCTGAATTCATGAAGGCATGGAATGCTGCTGCTGCTGCCGCTGCAGCTGCTCCTGATGTCAATATCATCATGGGTGCTGGTTCCCGGCCTCAGGCTCCTTCCCACTCTTTTAGCTATTCAGCACCCACCTCTGCTGTGCATACGTATGGTGTTCCCCAACCTGTACAACCCACCCCTGAAGTTCAGAGAGCAACAGCTGAATTCATGGCAGCATGGAATGCTGCTGCTCAGGGGGCTACACAGATTCAGACATCTCTGGTGAAATCTGGTCAAGCTCCTACACAGGTTGTTGCAACAGATGCTGTCAAGAAGGCAACACAAGAGTTCATGGCAGCATACAATGCAGCTGCTAGAAGAGCAGGTGTTGTTGAACAGGCAGTGTCAACCATTCCACAACAGGTCCAACAGACTGAGGAGGTTAAGAGAGCTACAGCAGAATTCATGACTGCATGGCACGATGCTGCTCAACGAGCATCAGCCATTAAGCTGACAGTATCAGGACCACAGCCAGTGCAACCAACTGATGAGGTGCAGAGAGCTACAGCTGCATTCATGGCTGCTTGGAATCGCGCTGCTTCCCGAGTTCCAAAGATTGAGACAACCATGTATACACTGTCAGGTTCAAGTGCACTGGATACCTGTGCTGCTTGTGCAGCCCCATCACCTGTTTCTGATACCCCTGAGGTCAGAGCTGCCAAAGAACAGTTCATGGCCACATTCAGAGCTGCCGAAGAGGCTGCTCGCCGCGCATCTGTGTCCCGTGGTGTACTGCCTGTTCCCCCAGTGTTGGCTGTGCATGCCCCATCCCATGTAGTAACATACAGCACAGGTGCCCCTACCCACGGTTACATTCTTTCTGACCGTCTCTTTGCTCCCTTCCACGGACTTCCTCTTCATGTGAAGGACTGCTAAGGAAAAAAAAAAAAAAATCCTGTATGGCTGATCTAGCTATCATCATTTATAGATTCTTGTTACTTTTCCACGACAAATGCGATTGTAAATAAAAAAAACTAAATGAATCAGAATGTTATAGAATTAAACTATTTCACACGAAATATTATTCAGTGTATATTTGTTCCTTTTATGTATTTGGTAAAATGTAAGTGATGCATGTTCTACAAAAGTGAAAGAATGGCATGAGATTGCACTGCCTCTCAGTGCTAGTTCTAGATATTTAAAATTGATATAAATGAAGTATGCCGCCAGTTCATGGTTACTAATGGCTTACTGCATGGCTTGTCGTTTTATAATTAAATACTATCTATAACACCATTAGATAAATTTAAAGTAAAGAATATCAAAACTACATATATCGTAAAATACTGAAGGCTTATACAAATGTTTATGAGTGACATTCTGTCTGCAAGTATGACGCCTGACTACAGTGAGATGAACTTTAAAAAATATTACAAACACAAATACAAACATGGACGACATTCTTCTTGAATTGTGTCAGATAACGTGCAGTTCGAGTGACATAAAGTCGAGTAGAGTGCTACTCACTAATGAGGTCGTACCCAGCATTACATATCCATACATTAATGTTCTATTTGTTAAGACGAAATAGGTGTCCTTGGTGGCCAATTTAACCCATTGGTGCTGGGTATGATGTGTACGTACGTGCTATGCCCACCGTGAGTACTTGTTTGATTGTTTTTACGCATAGATGGCAACACTTGTACTAACTCCCCATTGAGCTAACTACGAGCACCGCCCGTCTCGCCCGTTTACCCGTTTCTTTGATTTACGAATTATTTTATGTTATCTTATTTTGCTGTTACTAATGTTAAAAAACATTATAAAAATTATAATGTTTATGATAAAAATAACACCATCGATTTTCATAGCACTAGTGAAAAATACGTTTTTCCCGCCATTTCAAATCAGGCGCTAGCAGAGCCATCTATCGGCAGACATTTCACGAAAAACATAGAAAGTGGGCACAGCATTTTCCCCATTTTTTGTTCATTTTCCCCGGCACCATTGGGTAAAGTCTTGAACCAGTGATGCTACTTCTCAGATATTAAAATTCCCATAAAATGTTACTTCTTTTTTCACAGAGATTCAAACAGATCCTACATATATTGCTTCAGACAAGATACAGAACACTGGAATGGTCATAAATACTTACATATAGTTTCTTCTTTATTGTTGTAATGAATGACAAATTAGGATCTGGTACAGTAATGGCAGGTGCCATCAGGTACTTCATTATATACCTACTGATTTCTGTTAATATCACGTTAACCCATTCACGCCGGGTGTCACGTATACGTGACGGGCCCACTGCGAGTTTACTTGTTTAATTTTTTTCACACATAGATGGCTACACTTGTACTTGTACTGCCTGTGTCGTCTGTTTACCCTTTTCTTTAATTTACGAAAATATCTTACGTTATCTTATTCTGCTGTTACTAATGTTTATAACATTATAGTAATTATAATGTATAATATATATATAATAATATATAATATATACACATGAATATATGTATATACATATAGATAGATATTTACCACAATGTACATGTATATATGATAAATATATATATATATATGCGTGTGTATGGTATGTGTGTAAATATACGTATATGTATATATGTACATACATATGTATATTTATATAAATTCAATGCATATATATATATTTGATATATATATATACATATATATACATATATATATATATATATATATATATATATATGTATGCATGTGCGTGTGTATATGTATACTGTATATCTATATATACAAGCACACACGCGCACACACACACACGTGTATTTATATTACATTCATATGCATAAATATGTATTCAGAGTATACGAGTATGTACATAAACATAATTACATCTAAATTTACATATCGACAGACAAATACATATGCATATATACACATATATATTTCCATATATATACATATAAATACACATATACATATATTATGTCTATATACATACAAATCCATATATGTGAGCATATACATATATGTATATATATATATATATATATATATAATGTATACATATGTACACATATATATACATATGTTATATACATATGAATATGTATATATATTTATACATATATATGTATATATATACATGTATATATAATGTATACATATGTATATATGTTGTATATACATATATATTATATATGTGAATATGTATATATATGTATACATACATACATATGTAGATACATATGTATTTATATATATACATGTACATATATGGAGATCTGTCTGTATATGTATATATTTATACCTACATAAATATGTATGTATATATAAACTATATTATATATATATACAAGTATTTGCATATAGACATTATATATATACACATATGTAATAGATATTTGTATATACATAAATTATGTATGGATGTGTCTATTGTACATGTATATATGATATATATATGTATGCATATATAATATATATATGTGTATGTATATATATCATATGTCAACACATGATATATATACACAAAATAAATACGTGTTTGCATATAAAATATATATATTATATATATAACAATATATACTATAAATATTGTATATATACACATACTTATTATATGTAATATATATATATATATATATTATGTTCTGGATATCTGTACATCGTCTTGTGGGCGTGGTATGGGAGGAGCGAGGGGCGGGTCTGGGCGAAGAGAGCGGGCAGGAATTGCCGCTGGGCACAGGGACGAAGGGGAGGGGCACCGCGGTATAAAAGCCAGCGACTCCCGAACGCCGGCACAGCACACGCAAGCAGCTAGACATGAAGTGTCTGGTGAGGCCCTCGACAGTTGCATCCGCTCACTGAAAATAATTTTGCTTTAATATCTCTCAGTTATAGAAAAAAGAAGTTCCTTGCAGTGAACGTGAAAGTGCAGTGTTCGTGTGATAACAGAAAATTAATGATTAAGAATCGCTATTTGTACTTTAGATATGCAACTTATGCATATGTGTGTACTCACATGTAAATGAATTAATATATGTATGCATGTATATATGTACATATTAATATGTGTAATCTATACATACATATACGTGTGTGCACATATTTGATATGTATATAACACACACACACACACACGTGTATGCATACATGCATACACGTGCATATACATATACATACATATATACAAATGTAAATATGTATGTACATATATATACACATACATGTATATATACATATATGTGCAGATAAAGTATATATATTGATTTACAGTACATTTATATTTGTGTGGATGTATGCGTGCGCAATCACACACACACACACTACATGTGTTTGTGAGTGTGTATGTGTATACTTGTACATATATTCAAGTATATACACACAATTATGCACACGCATGCGTGTGCACATGTGCACTTTATTTTTTCTCATTGAGATGTATATATTAGAATGTACATAATTATATCACTCATATATATATGTGTGCATATAATATATATAATATATATACATATATATAACATGTATAAATGCAACATAACCATGCATGTCTCTATAGCAGGAAAGGCACTCTACTATATTTCCTCACATCTATTGTTCCATTTCAGGTGGTAGCAGCGCTGGCGGTAGTAGCCGTGGGCTCACCTGTACCAGACAATTGTGTCGTGCCATGTGGAACTGTCGGCCAGACTTATGTGTCCTTGCCACTCCAGTACCAGGCAGCCTATGCAGTTGGTGCTGGCCCAGTGGCACCAACTCCTGAAGTCCAGCAAGCTACTGCAGCTTTCATGGCTGCCTGGAATGCTGCTGCCGCTGGAGCAAATACCCTTACATCGACGCTATTGACGCCATCAGGATATGTTCAAAATCCTGCACAAGTCCACACAGCCTGTTCACAGTTCTTGGCAGCATGGAATCAAGCTGCTACACGTGCAGCAACTGTCCAGCATGCAGTCTACTCTCTTCCACAACCAGTTCGGCAAACTGAAGAAGTAAGGAAAGCTACTGAGGAGTTTATGGCTGCATGGAGGGCTGCTGCTCAGCGTGTTTCAACTATTCAGCAAGCAATCCCTGTTTCTGTTGATCCTTATTCCTCTGCACCTAAGCCGGTAGAAGCTACTGAAGAGGTCAAAAGGGCTACAGCTGAATTCATGGAAGCTTGGAATAAGGCTGCAGCAAGAGTGCCATCTATTCAAACCACCATGTACCAGCTCTCAGGAACAACAGCAGCTGCTGCTCCTCAAGCAGCAGGATCTACTCCCCAGTTTACTCCATCGGTTGAACAAGCTACTGCTGAGTTCATGAAGGCATGGAATGCTGCTGCTGCTGCCGCTGCAGCTGCTCCTGATGTCAATATCATCATGGGTGCTAGCTCACGTCCCCAAACCCCTGCCCAATCTGTTGGTACCTACTCTGCCCCTTCTTACACTCCAGCTGCTCCTTCTGTACCTTCACATGGAGCTCCCCAGCCAGTTCAACCTACTCCTGAAGTTCAGAGAGCTACTGCAGAATTCATGGCTGCATGGAATAAGGCTGCTGCACGAGCAACCAAGATTCAGTCAGTCTTAGTTAAGTCTGGAACTCCTGGTCATTACAACATTCAGGTTCCTCAGCAGGTTCAGGCTACCAGGGAAGTGCAAAAGGCTACAGCTGAATTCATGGCTGCATGGAATGAAGCTGCACGTCGGGCAACTACTGTACAGCATGCTATGTATTCTGTACCTCAGCCAGTCCAGCCAACTGAAGAAGTTCGACGAGCTACTGCTGAGTTCATGGCTTCTTGGGAAGCTGCTGCACAGAGAGCATCTGCTATTAGACAAGCAGTGAGTGTGACTGCTGATCCTTATTCTGCTGCACCAAAACAGGTAGAGGCTACTGAGGAAGTCAAGAGAGCTACAGCTGAATTCATGGATGCTTGGAATAAGGCTGCAGCTAGAGTAGGAGCCATTCAGACTACTGTTTACCAAGTAGCAGGTACTGTACCAGCTGCTGCTCCTGCTCAAGCTTCTGGTTCAGCTCCTCGCTTCACCCCATCAGTGGAACAAGCAACTGCTGAATTCATGAAGGTATGGAATGCTGCTGCTGCTGCTGCTGCAGCTGCTCCTGATGTCAATATCATCATGGGTGCTAGCTCTCTTCCCAGGACTCCTGCTCAAGCTGTTGTATACCAAGCACACTCTGTTGGTACCCCATCTGCTCCTTCCTCTTTCACTCCAGCTGCTCCTGCTGTACCTTCATATGGAGCTCCCCAGCCAGTTCAACCTACTCCGGAAGTTCAGAGAGCTACTGCAGAATTCATGGCTGCATGGAATAAGGCTGCTGCACGAGCAACCAAGATTCAGTCAGTCTTAGTTAAGTCTGGAACTCCTGGTCATTACACCATTCAAGTTCCTCAGCAGGTTCAGGCTACCAGGGAAGTGCAAAAGGCTACAGCTGAATTCATGGCTGCATGGAATGAAGCTGCACGTCGGGCAACTACTGTACAGCATGCTATGTATTCTGTACCTCAGCCAGTCCAGCCAACTGAAGAAGTTCGACAAGCTACTGCTGAGTTCATGGCTGCTTGGGAATCTGCTGCACGGAGAGCATCTGCTATCAGACAAGCAGTGAGTGTGACTGCTGATCCTTATTCTGCTGCACCAAAACAGGTAGAGGCTACTGAGGAAGTTAAGAGAGCCACAGCTGAATTCATGGAAGCTTGGAATAAGGCTGCAGCTAGAGTAGGAGCTATTCAGACTACTGTTTACCAAGTAGCAGGTACTGTACCAGCTGCTGCTCCTGCTCAAGCTTCTGGTTCTGCTCCCCGTTTCACCCCTGCTGTTGAACAAGCTACTGCTGAATTCATGAAGGCATGGAATGCTGCTGCTGCAGCTGCTGCAGCTGCTCCTGATGTCAATATCATCATGGGTGCTAGCTCTCTTCCCAGGACTCCTTCTCAAGCTGTTGTATACCAAGCACACTCTGTTGGTACCCCATCTGCTCCTTCCTCTTTCACACCAGCTGCTCCTGCTGTACCTTCATATGGAGCTCCCCAGCCAGTTCAACCTACTCCTGAAGTTCAGAGAGCTACTGCAGAATTCATGGCTGCATGGAATAAGGCTGCTGCACGAGCAACCAAGATTCAGTCAGTCTTAGTTAAGTCTGGAACTCCTGGTCATTACAACATTCAAGTTCCTCAGCAGGTTCAGGCTACCAGGGAAGTGCAAAAGGCTACAGCTGAATTCATGGCTGCATGGAATGAAGCTGCACGTCGGGCAACTACTGTACAGCATGCTATGTATTCTGTACCTCAGCCAGTCCAGCCAACTGAAGAAGTTCGACGAGCTACTGCTGAGTTCATGGCTTCTTGGGAAGCTGCTGCACGGAGAGCATCTGCTATCAGACAAGCAGTGAGTGTGACTGCTGATCCTTATTCTGCTGCGCCAAAACAGGTAGAGGCTACTGAGGAAGTTAAGAGAGCCACAGCTGAATTCATGGAAGCTTGGAATAAGGCTGCAGCTAGAGTAGGAGCCATTCAGACTACTGTTTACCAAGTAGCAGGTACTGTACCAGCTGCTGCTCCTGCTCAAGCTTCTGGTTCTGCTCCTCGCTTCACCCCATCAGTGGAACAAGCAACTGCTGAATTCATGAAGGCATGGAATGCTGCTGCTGCTGCCGCTGCAGCTGCTCCTGATGTCAATATCATCATGGGTGCTGGTTCCCGGCCTCAGGCTCCTTCCCACTCTTTTAGCTATTCAGCACCCACCTCTGCTGTGCATACTTATGGTGTTCCCCAACCTGTACAACCCACCCCTGAAGTTCAGAGAGCAACAGCTGAATTCATGGCAGCATGGAATGCTGCTGCTCAGGGGGCTACACAGATTCAGACATCTCTGGTGAAATCTGGTCAAGCTCCTACACAGGTTGTTGCAACAGATGCTGTCAAGAAGGCAACACAAGAGTTCATGGCGGCATACAATGCAGCTGCTAGAAGAGCAGGTGTTGTTGAACAGGCAGTGTCAACCATTCCACAACAAGTCCAACAGACTGAGGAGGTTAAGAGAGCTACAGCAGAATTCATGACTGCATGGCATGATGCTGCTCAACGAGCATCAGCCATTAAGCTGACAGTATCAGGACCACAGCCAGTGCAACCAACTGATGAGGTGCAGAGAGCTACAGCTGCATTCATGGCTGCTTGGAATCGCGCTGCTTCCCGAGTTCCAAAGATTGAAACAACCATGTATACACTGTCAGGTTCAAGTGCACTGGATACCTGTGCTGCTTGTGCAGCCCCATCACCTGTTTCTGATACCCCTGAGGTCAGAGCTGCCAAAGAACAGTTCATGGCCACATTCAGAGCTGCCGAAGAGGCTGCTCGCCGCGCATCTGTGTCCCGTGGTGTACTGCCTGTTCCCCCAGTGTTGGCTGTGCATGCCCCATCCCATGTAGTAACATACAGCACAGGTGCCCCTACCCACGGTTACATTCTTTCTGACCGTCTCTTTGCTCCCTTCCACGGACTTCCTCTTCATGTGAAGGACTGCTAAGAAAAATCCTGTATGACTGATCTAGCTATCATCATTTATAGATTCTTGTTACTTTTCCACGACAAATGCGATTGTAAATAAAAACGAAATGAATCAGAATGTCATAGTATTAAACTATTTCACACGAAATATTATTCAGTGTATATTTGTTCCTTTTATGTACTTGGTAATCTGTAAGTGATGCATGTTCTACAAAAGTGAAAGAATGGCATGAGATTGCACTGTCACACAATGTTAGTTCAAGATGTTTAAAATCACATTAGCAAAATACACTTTCATATAGTGATTATGGTAAAGCTGCTTATTCCTTTGGAGTATAGAAGTCTCTTTAGCTTCACTCAGAACTAATGCTTTTATGCACCACATACTTGTTTGTGCTTCTCAGCTGCAATGTGATAAATTATCCAGTCTTGACTAATGTGTCAGTGGCTCTACCACTAGCCTTTGCAACTGATGTACCATATCATCCTATTGATTGACTCAATTAAAATATTTCAAATATGTGAAATGTCAAAACCTATTTCAGGTAATTGGATATTCAGTGCAAAGCACTGATATAAATGATGTATGCCGCCAGTTCTTGGTTACTAATGGTTTACTGCATGGCTTGTTTTATAATTAAATACAATCCATAACACCAATATATAGCATTAAAGTAAAGAATATCAAAACTACATTTACCGTAAATCACTGAAGGATTATACCAATGTTTATGAGTGACATTCTGTTGGCAAGTATAACGCCAGACTACAGTTAGATGAACTCTAAAAAATACAAATACAAAAATGGACGACATTCTTCTTGAATCGTGTCAGATAATGTGTAGTTCGAGTGACATAAAGTCGAGTAGAGTGCTATTCACTAATGAGGTCGTACCCAGCATTACATTTCCATACATTAATGTTCTATTTATTAAGACAAAATAAGTGTCATCGGTGGCCAATTTAAGTCTTGACCCAGTGATGCTACATCTCAGATATTAAAATTCCCATGAAATGTTACTTCTTTTTCCACAGAGGTTCAGACAGATCCTACATATATTGCTTCAGACAAGACACAGAACACAGAATTACATATAGTTTCTTCTTTATTGTTGTAATGAATGACAAATTAGGATCTGGTACAGTAATGGCAGGTGCCATCAGGTACTTCATTATATACCTACTCATTTCTGTTAATATCACGTTAACACTATTTTCATATGAAAAAATCTCTATATATACATATATATATACATATATATATGTATGTATGTATATATAAATATATTGAGACACATGCTCCTACTATCCGAGGTAGAAATGATTAAAAAAAAAAAAAAAATGGTATACACTTGGAACAACGTAATAATGTGTAAGAAATAGGTTTAAATGGACCTCCAAGTAGGACAGCGGCCTACTTGCCCTATTAGTAAATTCAGACGTAAATATATATAAATCATATACATACACAGATATACACACACACAAATATATGTATATACATATAGATAGATATTTACCACAATGTACATGTATATATCATAAATAAATATATAAGTGTGTGCGTGTATGTGTAAATATACGTATATATATAAATGTACATACATATGTATATTTATATAAATTCTGTGCATACATATATATTTAATATATATACATACATACATACATATATATATATATATATATATATATATATATATATATATATATATGTATGTATGTATATATTAGATATATATGTATGCACAGAATTTATATAAATATACATATGTATGTACATTTATATATATACGTATATTTACACATACACAAATATATGTATATACATATAGATAGATATTTACCACAATGTACATGTATATATCATAAATAAATATATAAGTGTGTGCGTGTGTGTGTATGTGTAAATATACGTATATATATAAATGTACATACATATGTATATTTATATAAATTCTGTGCATACATATATATTTAATATATATATGCATACATACATACATATATATATATATATATATATATATATATATATATATATATGTATGTATGTATATATTAGATATATATGTATGCACAGAATTTATATAAATATACATATGTATGTACATTTATATATATACGTATATTTACACATACACACACACACACACGCACACTTATATATTTATTTATGATATATACATGTACATTGTGGTAAATATGTATCTATATGTATATACATATATTTGTGTGTGTGTATATCTGTGTATGTATATAATTTATATATATTCACGTCTGGATTTACTAATAGGGCTGGAGGTCCATTGAAACCTATTTCTTACACATTATTACGTTGTTCCAAGTGTATACCATTTTTTTTTAATCATTTCAGGCTCGGATAATAGGAGCATGTGTCTCTTTATCTATATATATATATATATATATATATATATATATATATATATATATATACATACATACATATATATATGTATATATATAGATTTTTTTATATTTAAATAGTGTTAACGTGATATTAACAGAAATCAGTAGGTATATAATGAAGTACCTGATGGCACCTGCCATTACTGTACCAGATCCTAATTTGTCATTCATTACAACAATAAAGAAGAAACTATATGTAAGTCTGTGTTCTGTGTCTTGTCTGAAGCAATATATGTAGGATCTGTGTGAACCTCTGTGGAAAAAGAAGTAACATTTCATGGGAATTTTAATATCTGAGATGTAGCATCACTGGTTCAAGACTTAAATTGGCCACCGATGACACTTATTTTGTCTTAATAAATAGAACATTAATGTATGGAAATGTAATGCTGGGTACGACCTCATTAGTGAATAGCACTCTACTCGACTTTATGTCACATATATATATATATGTATGCATGTGCGTGCGTATATGTATACTGTATAGGTATATATATCTATAATTACAAGCACAAACACACACGTGTATTAATATTACATTCATATGCATAAATATGCATTCAGAGTATACGAGTATGTACATAAACATAATTACATCTAAATTTACATATCGACAGACATACATATGCATATATACACATATATGTTTCCATATGTATACATATAAATACACATATACCTATATTATGTCTATATACATACGCATCCATATATATGAGCATATACATATATATGTATATACATATATATATATATATATATATATATATATATATATAATGTATACATATGTACACATATTGTATATATGTTACATATACATATATATCATATATTTGAATATGTATATATATGTATACATATATACATATGTAGATACATATATATTTATATAAATACACATACATTTACATACATTTATAAATATGTACATATATGGAGATCTGTATATGTATGTATATATTTATACCTACATAAATATATAAGTATATATAAACTATATTATATATATATAAGTATTTGCATATAGACATTATATATATACATATATTTAATATATATTTGTATATATATAAATTATTTTTGGACGTGTGTAATGTATATGTATATATGATATATATATATGTATGCATATATAATATATATATATATATATATATATATATATATATATATATATATATATATATATATATGCATGTATATATATGTCACGATATGATATAAATACGTGTTTGCATATAAATATACATTATATATAATAATAATATATACTATAAATATTGTACATATACACATACTTATTATATATAATATATATATATTATATTCTGGATACCTGTGCATGTGTGTATATATGTACGGACACACACACACACACATATATATAATACACATATGTTATATATATATGTGTGTATTACATATATGAATATATATTGCATATTTGCATATTTAGTTTATATATCTATATATAATACATGTGTGTATATGTATGTAATATTTTTCAGATATATAATATATATACATATATATCTTCTGTATCTACATATATATATCATATATACATATACTGTAACAACATAATTATATGATATATATACATACAATATGTATATGTACTCAATATTTATATATACATATAATATATATACAAAATATATATGTATATATACATACAGTATATATATGCATACATACATATATATATATATATATATATATATATATATATATATATTCATACATATGTATGTGTACTTATACGTATGTCTATATTTTAAGATATATATACACATATATGTATACATATACATATATGAGTATATGTATACATAAGTTTGTATGCATTTTAAAATAATGTTTGACATAACGGTCAAATAACATTAGCGTAGGAGCATCGTCTTGTGGGCGTGGTATGGGAGGAGCGAGGGGCGGGTCTGGGCGAAGAGAGCGGGCAGGAATTGCCGCTGGGCACAGGGACGAAGGGGAGGAGCACCGCGGTATAAAAGCCAGCGACTCCCGAACGCCGGCACAGCACACGCAAGCAGCTAGACATGAAGTGTCTGGTGAGGCCCTCGACAGTTGCATCCGCTCACTGAAAATAATTTTGCTTTAATATCTCTCAGTTATAGAAAAAAAGAAGTTCCTTGCAGTGAACGTGAAAGTGCAGTGTTCGTGTGATAACAGAAAATTAATGATTAAGAATCGCTATTTGTACTTTAGATATGCAACTTATGCATATGTGTGTACTCACATGTAAATGAATTAATATATGTATGCATGTATATATGTATGTATTAATATGTCTAATCTATACATACATATACGTGTGTGCACATATTTGATATGTATATAACACACACACACACACGTGTATGCATACATGCATACACGTGCATATACATATACATACATATATGTAAATATAAATATGTATGTACATATATATACACATACATGTATATATACATATATACATATATGTGCAGATAAAGTATATATATTGATTTACAGTACATTTATATTTGTGCGAATGTATGCGTGCGCAATCACACACACACACTACATGTGTTTGTGAGTGTGTATCTGTATACTTGTACATATATTCAAGTATATACACACAATTATGTGCACTATTTTTTCTCATTGAGATGTATATATTAGAATGTACATTATTATATCACTCATATATATATGTGTGCATATAATATATATAATATATATACATATATATAACATGTATAAATGCAACATAACCATGCATGTCTCTATAGCAGGAAAGGCACTCTACTATATTTCCTCACATCTATTGTTCCATTTCAGGTGGTAGCAGCGCTGGCGGTAGTAGCCGTGGGCTCACCTGTACCAGACAATTGTGTCGTGCCATGTGGAACTGTCGGCCAGACTTATGTGGCCTTGCCACTCCAGTACCAGGCAGCCTATGCAGTTGGTGCTGGCCCAGTGGCACCAACTCCTGAAGTCCAGCAAGCTACTGCAGCTTTCATGGCTGCCTGGAATGCTGCTGCCGCTGGAGCAAATACCCTTACATCGACGCTATTGACGCCATCAGGATATGTTCAAAATCCTGCACAAGTCCACACAGCCTGTTCACAGTTCTTGGCAGCATGGAATCAAGCTGCTACACGTGCAGCAACTGTCCAGCATGCAGTCTACTCTCTTCCACAACCAGTTCGGCAAACTGAAGAAGTAAGGAAAGCTACTGAGGAGTTTATGGCTGCATGGAGGGCTGCTGCTCAGCGTGTTTCAACTATTCAGCAAGCAATCCCTGTTTCTGTTGATCCTTATTCCTCTGCACCTAAGCCGGTAGAAGCTACTGAAGAGGTCAAAAGGGCTACAGCTGAATTCATGGAAGCTTGGAATAAGGCTGCAGCAAGAGTGCCATCTATTCAAACCACCATGTACCAGCTCTCAGGAACAACAGCTGCTGCTGCTCCTCAGGCAGCAGGATCTACTCCCCAGTTTACTCCATCGGTTGAACAAGCTACTGCTGAGTTCATGAAGGCATGGAATGCTGCTGCTGCTGCCGCTGCAGCTGCTCCTGATGTCAATATCATCATGGGTGCTAGCTCACGTCCCCAAACCCCTGCCCAATCTGTTGGTACCTACTCTGCCCCTTCTTACACTCCAGCTGCTCCTTCTGTACCTTCACATGGAGCTCCCCAGCCAGTTCAACCTACTCCTGAAGTTCAGAGAGCTACTGCAGAATTCATGGCTGCATGGAATAAGGCTGCTGCACGAGCAACCAAGATTCAGTCAGTCTTAGTTAAGTCTGGAACTCCTGGTCATTACAACATTCAGGTTCCTCAGCAGGTTCAGGCTACCAGGGAAGTGCAAAAGGCTACAGCTGAATTCATGGCTGCATGGAATGAAGCTGCACGTCGGGCAACTACTGTACAGCATGCTATGTATTCTGTACCTCAGCCAGTCCAGCCAACTGAAGAAGTTCGACGAGCTACTGCTGAGTTCATGGCTGCTTGGGAAGCTGCTGCACGGAGAGCATCTGCTATCAGACAAGCAGTGAGTGTGACTGCTGATCCTTATTCTGCTGCGCCAAAACAGGTAGAGGCTACTGAGGAAGTTAAGAGAGCCACTGCTGAATTCATGGATGCTTGGAATAAGGCTGCAGCTAGAGTAGGAGCCATTCAGACTACTGTTTACCAAGTAGCAGGTACTGTACCAGCTGCTGCTCCTGCTCAAGCTTCTGGTTCTGCTCCCCGTTTCACCCCATGCTGTTGAACAGGCTACTGCTGAATTCATGAAGGCATGGAATGCTGCTGCAGCAGCTGCTGCAGCTGCTCCTGATGTCAATATCATTATGGGTGCTAGCTCTCTTCCCAGGACTCCTGCTCAAGCTGTTGTATACCAAGCACACTCTGTTGGTACCCCATCTGCTCCTTCCTCTTTCACTCCAGCTGCTCCTGCTGTACCTTCATATGGAGCTCCCCAGCCAGTTCAACCTACTCCGGAAGTTCAGAGAGCTACTGCAGAATTCATGGCTGCATGGAATAAGGCTGCTGCACGAGCAACCGAGATTCAGTCAGTCTTAGTTAAGTCTGGAACTCCTGGTCATTACACCATTCAAGGTTCCTCAGCAGGTTCAGGCTACCAGGGAAGTGCAAAAGGCTACAGCTGAATTCATGGCTGCATGGAATGAAGCTGCACGTCGGGCAACTACTGTACAGCATGCTATGTATTCTGTACCTCAGCCAGTCCAGCCAACGGAAGAAGTTCGACGAGCTACTGCTGAGTTCATGGCTTCTTGGGAAGCTGCTGCACAGAGAGCATCTGCTATCAGACAAGCAGTGAGTGTGACTGCTGATCCTTATTCTGCTGCACCAAAACAGGTAGAGGCTACTGAGGAAGTTAAGAGAGCCACAGCTGAATTCATGGATGCTTGGAATAAGGCTGCAGCTAGAGTAGGAGCCATTCAGACTACTGTTTACCAAGTAGCAGGTACTGTACCAGCTGCTGCTCCTGCTCAAGCTTCTGGTTCAGCTCCTCGCTTCACCCCATCAGTGGAACAAGCAACTGCTGAATTCATGAAGGCATGGAATGCTGCTGCTGCTGCCGCTGCAGCTGCTCCTGATGTCAATATCATCATGGGTGCTGGTTCCCGGCCTCAGGCTCCTTCCCACTCTTTTAGCTATTCAGCACCCACCTCTGCTGTGCATACTTATGGTGTTCCCCAACCTGTACAGCCCACCCCTGAAGTTCAGAGAGCAACAGCTGAATTCATGGCAGCATGGAATGCTGCTGCTCAGGGGGCTACACAGATTCAGACATCTCTGGTGAAATCTGGTCAAGCTCCTACACAGGTTGTTGCAACAGATGCTGTCAAGAAGGCAACACAAGAGTTCATGGCAGCATACAATGCAGCTGCTAGAAGAGCAGGTGTTGTTGAACAGGCAGTGTCAACCATTCCACAACAGGTCCAACAGACTGAGGAGGTTAAGAGAGCTACAGCAGAATTCATGACTGCATGGCATGATGCTGCTCAACGAGCATCAGCCATTAAGCTGACAGTATCAGGACCACAGCCAGTGCAACCAACTGATGAGGTGCAGAGAGCTACAGCTGCATTCATGGCTGCTTGGAATCGCGCTGCTTCCCGAGTTCCAAAGATTGAGACAACCATGTATACACTGTCAGGTTCAAGTGCACTGGATACCTGTGCTGCTTGTGCAGCCCCATCACCTGTTTCTGATACCCCTGAGGTAAGAGCTGCCAAAGAACAGTTCATGGCCACATTCAGAGCTGCCGAAGAGGCTGCTCGCCGCGCATCTGTGTCCCGTGGTGTACTGCCTGTTCCCCCAGTGTTGGCTGTGCATGCCCCATCCCATGTAGTAACATACAGCACAGGTGCCCCTACCCACGGTTACATTCTTTCTGACCGTCTCTTTGCTCCCTTCCATGGACTTCCTCTTCATGTGAAGGACTGCTAAGGAAAAAAAAAAAAAAAATCCTGTATGGCTGATCTAGCTATCATCATTTATAGATTCTTGTTACTTTTCCACGACAAATGCGATTGTAAATAAAAAAACTAAATGAATCAGAATGTTATAGAATTAAACTATTTCACACGAAATATTATTCAGTGTATATTTGTTCCTTTTATGTATTTGGTAAAATGTAAGTGATGCATGTTCTACAAAAGTGAAAGAATGGCATGAGATTGCACTGCCTCTCAGTGCTAGTTCTAGATATTTAAAATTGATATAAATGAAGTATGCCGCCAGTTCTTGGTTACTAATGGCTTACTGCATGGCTTGACGTTTTATAATTAAATACTATCTATAACACCATTAGATAAATTTAAAGTAAAGAATATCAAAACTACATATATCGTAAAATACTGAAGGCTTATACAAATGTTTATGAGTGACATTCTGTCTGCAAGTATAACGCCTGACTACAGTGAGATGAACTTTTAAAAAATATTACAAACACAAATACAAACATGGACAACATTCTTCTTGAATCGTGTCAGATAACGTGCAGTTCGAGTGACATAAAGTCGAGTAGAGTGCTATTCACTAATGAGGTCGTACCCAGCATTACATATCCATACATTAATGTTCTATTTGTTAAGATAAAATAGGTGTCCTTGGTGGCCAATTTAACCCATTGGTGCCGGGTATGATGTGTACGTACGTGCTATGCCCACCGTGAGTACTTGTTTGATTGTTTTTACGCATAGATGGCAACACTTGTACTAACTCCCCATTGAGCTAACTACTCAATGGGGAAAAATACGTTTTTCCCGCCATTTCAAATCAGGCGCTAGCAGAGCCATCTATCGGCAGACATTTCACGAAAAACATAGAAAGTGGGCACAGCATTTTCCCCATTTTTTGTTCATTTTCCCCGGCACCATTGGGTAAAGTCTTGAACCAGTGATGCTACTTCTCAGATATTAAAATTCCCATAAAATGTTACTTCTTTTTTCACAGAGATTCAAACAGATCCTACATATATTGCTTCAGACAAGATACAGAACACTGGAATGGTCATAAATACTTACATATAGTTTCTTCTTTATTGTTGTAATGAATGACAAATTAGGATCTGGTACAGTAATGGCAGGTGCCATCAGGTACTTCATTATATACCTACTGATTTCTGTTAATATCACGTTAACACCATTTTCATAGGAAAAAAAAATCTATACATATATATATATATATACATATATATATATATATATATATATATATATATATATGCATGTGTATATATATATATATATATATATATTATATATATATAAATAAAGAGACACATGCTCCTATTATCCGAGCCAGAAATGTTAAAAAAAAGAGAAAAAAAAATGCTATACACTTGGAACAACGTAATAATGTCTAAGAACTAAGCTTCAATGGGCCTCCAAGTAGGACAGCGGCCTACTTGCCATATTAGTAAATCCAGACCTGAATATATATAAATATACATACACGGATATATATACACATGAATATATGTATATACATATAGATAAATATTTAGCACAATGTACATGTATATATGATAAATATATATATATGCGTGTGTGTGGCATGTGTGTAAATATACGTATATGTATATATGTACATACATATGTATATTTATATAAATTCAATGCATATATATATATTTGATATATATATATACATATATATATATATATATATATATATATATATATATATATATATATGTATGCATGTGCGTGTGTATATGTATACTGTATATCTATATATACAAGCACACACACGCACACACACACACACGTGTATTTATATTACATTCATATGCATAAATATGTATTCAGAGTATACGAGTATGTACATAAACATAATTACATTTAAATTTACATATCGACAGACAAATACATATGCATATATACACATATATATTTCCATATATATACATATAGATACACATATACATATATTATGTCTATATACATACATATCCATATATGTGAGCATATACATATATGTATATATATATATACATATATATATATATATATATATATATATATATATATATATATAATGTATGCATATGTACACATATATATATACATATATGTTATATATATATGAATATGTATATATATTTATACATATATATATATATAATGTATACATATGTATATATGTTGTATATACATATATATTATATATGTGAATATGTATATATATGCATACATACATACATATGTAAATACATATATATTTATATATATACATGTACATATATGGAGATCTGTCTGTATATGTATATATTTATACCTACATAAATATGTATGTATATATAAACTATATTATATATATACAAGTATTTGCATATAGACATTATATATATACACATATGTAATAGATATTTGTATATATATAAATTATGTATGGATGTGTCTATTGTACATGTATATATGATATATATATGTATGCATATATAATATATATATGTGTATGTATATATAACATATGTCAACACATGATATATATACACAAAATAAATACGTGTTTGCATATAAAAAATATATATTATATATATAACAATATATACTATAAATATTGTATATATACACATACTTATTATATGTAATATATATATATATATATATATATATATATATTATGTTCTGGATATCTGTACATGTGTGTATATATGCACGGACACACACACACACACAAACACACACAAACACAAATATATATATAATACACATGTTATATATATATATATATATATATGTGTGTGTGTGTGTGTGTGTGTGTGTGTGTGTGTGTGTATTACATATATGAATGTATATTGCATATTTGCATATTTAATTTATATATCTATATATAATACATATGTGTATATGTATGTTATATTTTTTCAGATATATAATATATATATATACATTTATATCTTCTGTATGTGCATATATATATTATATATACATATACTATAACAACATATGTATATGATATATATACATACAATATGTATATGTACACAATATATATATATATATATATACAAAATATATATATATACATACAGTATATATTTAATACATACATATATATATAAATATATATATATATTCAAACATATGTATGTGTATTTATACATAAGTTTGTATGCATTTTAAATTAATGTTTGACATAGCGGTCAAATAACATTAGCGTAGGAGCATCGTCTTGTGGGCGTGGTATGGGAGGAGCGAGGGGCGGGTCTGGGCGAAGAGAGCGGGCAGGACTTGCCGCTGGGCACAGGGACGAAGGGGAGGGGCACCGCGGTATAAAAGCCAGCGACTCCCGAACGCCGGCACAGCACACGCAAGCAGCTAGACATGAAGTGTCTGGTGAGGCCCTCGACAGTTGCATCCGCTCACTGAAAATAATTTTGCTTTAATATCTCTCAGTTATAGAAAAAAAGAAGTTCCTTGCAGTGAACGTGAAAGTGCAGTGTTCGTGTGATAACAGAAAATTAATGATTAAGAATCGCTATTTGTACTTTAGATATGCAACTTATGCATATGTGTGTACTCACATGTAAATGAATTAATATATGTATGCATGTATATATGTATGTATTAATATTAATACGTGTGTGCACATATTTGATATGTATATAACACACACACACACACGTATATGCATACATGCATACACGTGCATATACATATACATACATATATGCAAATATAAATATGTATGTACATATATATACACATACATGTATATATACATATATACATATATGTGCAGATAAAGTATATATATTGATTTACAGTACATTTATATTTGTGTGGATGTATGCGTGCGCAATCACACACACACACACTACATGTGTTTGTGAGTGTGTATCTGTATACTTGTACATATATTCAAGTATATACACACAATTATGTACACGCATGCGTGTGCACATGTGCACTTTATTTTTTCTCATTGAGATGTATATATTAGAATGTACACAATTATATCACTCATATATATATGTGTGCATATAATATATATAATATATATACATATATATATAACATGTATAAATGCAACATAACCATGCATGTCTCTATAGCAGGAAAGGCACTCTACTATATTTCCTCACATCTATTGTTCCATTTCAGGTGGTAGCAGCGCTGGCGGTAGTAGCCGTGGGCTCACCTGTACCAGACAATTGTGCCGTGCCATGTGGAACTGTCGGCCAAACCTATGTGGCTTTGCCACTCCAGTACCAGGCAGCCTATGCAGTTGGTGCTGGCCCAGTGGCACCAACTCCTGAAGTCCAGCAAGCTACTGCAGCTTTCATGGCTGCCTGGAATGCTGCTGCCGCTGGAGCAAATACCCTTACATCGACGCTATTGACGCCATCAGGATATGTTCAAAATCCTGCACAAGTCCACACAGCCTGTTCACAGTTCTTGGCAGCATGGAATCAAGCTGCTACACGTGCAGCAACTGTCCAGCATGCAGTCTACTCTCTTCCACAACCAGTTCGGCAAACTGAAGAAGTAAGGAAAGCTACTGAGGAGTTTATGGCTGCATGGAGGGCTGCTGCTCAGCGTGTTTCAACTATTCAGCAAGCAATCCCTGTTTCTGTTGATCCTTATTCCTCTGCACCTAAGCCGGTAGAAGCTACTGAAGAGGTCAAAAGGGCTACAGCTGAATTCATGGAAGCTTGGAATAAGGCTGCAGCAAGAGTGCCATCTATTCAAACCACCATGTACCAGCTCTCAGGAACAACAGCAGCTGCTGCTCCTCAAGCAGCAGGATCTACTCCCCAGTTTACTCCATCGGTTGAACAAGCTACTGCTGAGTTCATGAAGGCATGGAATGCTGCTGCTGCTGCAGCTGCAGCTGCTCCTGATGTCAATATCATCATGGGTGCTAGCTCACGTCCCCAATCTGTTGGTACCTACTCTGCCCCTTCTTACACTCCAGCTGCTCCTTCTGTACCTTCACATGGAGCTCCCCAGCCAGTTCAACCTACTCCTGAAGTTCAGAGAGCTACTGCAGAATTCATGGCTGCATGGAATAAGGCTGCTGCACGAGCAACCAAGATTCAGTCAGTCTTAGTTAAGTCTGGAACTCCTGGTCATTACAACATTCAGGTTCCTCAGCAGGTTCAGGCTACCAGGGAAGTGCAAAAGGCTACAGCTGAATTCATGGCTGCATGGAATGAAGCTGCACGTCGGGCAACTACTGTACAGCATGCTATGTATTCTGTACCTCAGCCAGTCCAGCCAACTGAAGAAGTTCGACGAGCTACTGCTGAGTTCATGGCTTCTTGGGAAGCTGCTGCACAGAGAGCATCTGCTATCAGACAAGCAGTGAGTGTGACTGCTGATCCTTATTCTGCTGCACCAAAACAGGTAGAGGCTACTGAGGAAGTTAAGAGAGCCACAGCTGAATTCATGGATGCTTGGAATAAGGCTGCAGCTAGAGTAGGAGCCATTCAGACTACTGTTTACCAAGTAGCAGGTACTGTACCAGCTGCTGCTCCTGCTCAAGCTTCTGGTTCAGCTCCTCGCTTCACCCCATCAGTGGAACAAGCAACTGCTGAATTCATGAAGGCATGGAATGCTGCTGCTGCTGCCGCTGCAGCTGCTCCTGATGTCAATATCATCATGGGTGCTGGTTCCCGGCCTCAGGCTCCTTCCCACTCTTTTAGCTATTCAGCACCCACCTCTGCTGTGCATACGTATGGTGTTCCCCAACCTGTACAACCCACCCCTGAAGTTCAGAGAGCAACAGCTGAATTCATGGCAGCATGGAATGCTGCTGCTCAGGGGGCTACACAGATTCAGACATCTCTGGTGAAATCTGGTCAAGCTCCTACACAGGTTGTTGCAACAGATGCTGTCAAGAAGGCAACACAAGAGTTCATGGCAGCATACAATGCAGCTGCTAGAAGAGCAGGTGTTGTTGAACAGGCAGTGTCAACCATTCCACAACAGGTCCAACAGACTGAGGAGGTTAAGAGAGCTACAGCAGAATTCATGACTGCATGGCATGATGCTGCTCAACGAGCATCAGCCATTAAGCTGACAGTATCAGGACCACAGCCAGTGCAACCAACTGATGAGGTGCAGAGAGCTACAGCTGCATTCATGGCTGCTTGGAATCGCGCTGCTTCCCGAGTTCCAAAGATTGAGACAACCATGTATACACTGTCAGGTTCAAGTGCACTGGATACCTGTGCTGCTTGTGCAGCCCCATCACCTGTTTCTGATACCCCTGAGGTCAGAGCTGCCAAAGAACAGTTCATGGCCACATTCAGAGCTGCCGAAGAGGCTGCTCGCCGCGCATCTGTGTCCCGTGGTGTACTGCCTGTTCCCCCAGTGTTGGCTGTGCATGCCCCATCCCATGTAGTAACATACAGCACAGGTGCCCCTACCCACGGTTACATTCTTTCTGACCGTCTCTTTGCTCCCTTCCATGGACTTCCTCTTCATGTGAAGGACTGCTAAGGAAAAAAAAAAAAAAAATCCTGTATGGCTGATCTAGCTATCATCATTTATAGATTCTTGTTACTTTTCCACGACAAATGCGATTGTAAATAAAAAAAACTAAATGAATCAGAATGTTATAGAATTAAACTATTTCACACGAAATATTATTCAGTGTATATTTGTTCCTTTTATGTATTTGGTAAAATGTAAGTGATGCATGTTCTACAAAAGTGAAAGAATGGCATGAGATTGCACTGCCTCTCAGTGCTAGTTCTAGATATTTAAAATTGATATAAATGAAGTATGCCGCCAGTTCTTGGTTACTAATGGCTTACTGCATGGCTTGACGTTTTATAATTAAATACTATCTATAACACCATTAGATAAATTTAAAGTAAAGAATATCAAAACTACATATATCGTAAAATACTGAAGGCTTATACAAATGTTTATGAGTGACATTCTGTCTGCAAGTATAACGCCTGACTACAGTGAGATGAACTTTAAAAAATATTACAAACACAAATACAAACATGGACAACATTCTTCTTGAATCGTGTCAGATAACGTGCAGTTCGAGTGACATAAAGTCGAGTAGAGTGCTATTCACTAATGAGGTCGTACCCAGCATTACATATCCATACATTAATGTTCTATTTGTTAAGACAAAATAGGTGTCCTTGGTGGCCAATTTAACCCATTGGTGCCGGGTATGATGTGTACGTACGTGCCATGCCCACCGTGAGTACTTGTTTGATTGTTTTTACGCATAGATGGCAACACTTGTACTAACTCCCCAATGAGCCAACTACGAGCACCGCCCGTCTCGCCCGTTTACCCGTTTCTTTGATTTACGAATTATTTTATGTAATCTTATTTTGCTGTTACTAATGTTAAAAAACATAAAAATTATAATGTTTATGATAAAAATAACACCATCAATTTTCATAGCACTAGTGAAAAATACGTTTTTCCCGCCATTTCAAATCAGGCGCTAGCAGAGCCATCTATCGGCAGACATTTCACGAAAAACATAGAAAGTGGGCACAGCATTTTCCCCATTTTTTGTTCATTTTCCCCGGCACCATTGGGTTAAGTCTTGAACCAGTGATGCTACTTCTCAGATATTAAAATTCCCATAAAATGTTACTTCTTTTTTCACAGAGATTCAAACAGATCCTACATATATTGCTTCAGACAAGATACAGAACACTGGAATGGTCATAAATACTTACATATAGTTTCTTCATTATTGTTGTAATGAATGACAAATTAGGATCTGGTACAGTAATGGCAGGTGCCATCAGGTACTTCATTATATACCTACTGATTTCTGTTAATATCACGTTAACACCATTTTTATAGGAAAAAAAATCTATACATATATACATATATATATATATATATATATATGTATGTGTATATATATATATATATATATATATATATTATATATATATAAATAAAGAGACACATGCTCCTATTATCCGAGCCAGAAATGTTAAAAAAAAAAAAATGCTATACACTTGGAACAACGTAATAATGTATAAGAACTAAGTTTCAATGGGCCTCCAAGTAGGACAGCGGCCTACTTGCCATATTAGTAAATCCAGACCTGAATATATATAAATATACATGCACGGATATATATACACATGAATATATGTATATACATATAGATAGATATTTAGCACAATGTACATGTATATATGATAAATATATATATATATGCGTGTGTGTGGCATGTGTGTAAATATACGTATATGTATATATGTACATACATATGTATATTTATATAAATTTAATGCATATATATATATTTGATATATATATATATATATATATATATATATATATATATATATATATATATATATATATATATATGTATGCATGTGCGTGTGTATATGTATACTGTATATCTATATATACAAGCACACACACGCACACACACACACACGTGTATTTATATTACATTCATATGCATAAATATGTATTCAGAGTATACGAGTATGTACATAAACATAATTACATCTAAATTTACATATCGACAGACAAATACATATGCATATATACACATATATATTTCCATATATATACATATAAATACACATATACATATATTGTCTATATACATACAAATCCATATATGTGAGCATATACATATATGTATATATATATATATATATATATATATATATATATAATGTATACATATGTACACATATATATACATATATGTTATATATATATGAATATGTATATATATTTATACATATATATGTATATATATATATATATATATATATATATATATATATATATATAATGTATACATATGTATATATGTTGTATATACATATATATTATATATGTGAATATGTATATATATGTATACATATATACATATGTAGATACATATATATTTATATATATACATGTACATATATGGAGATCTGTCTGTATATGTATATATTTATACCTACATATATATGTATGTATATATAAACTATATTATATATATAAGTATTTGCATATAGACATTATATATATACACATATGTAATAGATATTTGTATATATATAAATTATGTATGGATGTGTCTATTGTACATGTATATATGATATATATATGTATGCATATAATATATATATATGTGTATGTATATATAACATATGTCAACACATGATATATATACACAAAATAAATACGTGTTTGTATATAAAATATATATATTATATATATAACAATATATACTATAAATATTGTATATATACATATACTTATTATATGTAATATATATATATATATTATGTTCTGGATATCTGTACATGTGTGTATATATGCACGGACACACACACACACACAAACACACACGCACACAAATATATATATAATACACATGTTATATATATATATATATATATATATATATATATATATGTATATATATATATATATATATATATATATATATATATATATGTGTGTGTGTGTGTGTGTGTGTGTGTGTGTGTGTGTGTGTATTACATATATGAATGTATATTGCATATTTGCATATTTAATTTATATATCTATATATAATACATATGTGTATATGTATGTTATATTTTTTCAGATATATAATATATATATACATTTATATCTTCTGTATGTGCATATATATATTATACATACATATACTATAACAACATATGTATATGATATATATACATACAATATGTATATGTACACAATATATATATATATATACAAAATATATATATATACATACAGTATATATTTAATACATACATATATATATAAATATATATATATATTCAAACATATGTATGTGTACTTATACGTAAGTTTGTATGCATTTTATATTAATGTTTGACATAGCGGTCAAATAACATTAGCGTAGGAGCATCGTCTTGTGGGCGTGGTATGGGAGGAGCGAGGGGCGGGTCTGGGCGAAGAGAGCGGGCAGGAATTGCCGCTGGGCACAGGGACGAAGGGGAGGGGCACCGCGGTATAAAAGCCAGCGACTCCCGAACGCCGGCACAGCACACGCAAGCAGCTAGACATGAAGTGTCTGGTGAGGCCCTCGACAGTTGCATCCGCTCACTGAAAATAATTTTGCTTTAATATCTCTCAGTTATAGAAAAAAAGGAGTTCCTTGCAGTGAACGTGAAAGTGCAGTGTTCGTGTGATAACAGAAAATTAATGATTAAGAATCGCTATTTGTACTTTAGATATGCAACTTATGCATATGTGTGTACTCACATGTAAATGAATTAATATATGTATGCATGTATATATATGTATTAATATGTCTAATCTATACATACATGTACGTGTGTGCACATATTTGATATGTATATAACACACACACACACGTTTATGCATACATGCATACACGTGCATATACATATACATACATATATGCAAATATAAATATGTATGTACATATATATACACATACATGTATATATACATATATACATACATGTGCAGATAAAGTATATATATTGATTTACAGTACATTTATATTTGTGCGAATGTATGCGTGCGCAATCACACACACACACACTACATGTGTTTGTGAGTGTGTATCTGTATACTTGTACATATATTCAAGTATATACACACAATTATGCACACGCATGCGTGTGCACATGTGCACTATCTTTTCTCATTGAGATGTATATATTAGAATGTACATAATTATATCACTCATATATATATGTGTGCATATAATATATATAATATATATAACATGTATAAATGCAACATAACCATGCATGTCTCTATAGCAGGAAAGGCACTCTTTACTATATTTCCTCACATCTATTGTTCCATTTCAGGTGGTAGCAGCGCTGGCGGTAGTAGCCGTGGGCTCACCTGTACCAGACAATTGTGTCGTGCCATGTGGAACTGTCGGCCAGACTTATGTGGCCTTGCCACTCCAGTACCAGGCAGCCTATGCAGTTGGTGCTGGCCCAGTGGCACCAACTCCTGAAGTCCAGCAAGCTACTGCAGCTTTCATGGCTGCCTGGAATGCTGCTGCCGCTGGAGCAAATACCCTTACATCGACGCTATTGACGCCATCAGGATATGTTCAAAATCCTGCACAAGTCCACACAGCCTGTTCACAGTTCTTGGCAGCATGGAATCAAGCTGCTACACGTGCAGCAACTGTCCAGCATGCAGTCTACTCTCTTCCACAACCAGTTCGGCAAACTGAAGAAGTAAGGAAAGCTACTGAGGAGTTTATGGCTGCATGGAGGGCTGCTGCTCAGCGTGTTTCAACTATTCAGCAAGCAATCCCTGTTTCTGTTGATCCTTATTCCTCTGCACCTAAGCCGGTAGAAGCTACTGAAGAGGTCAAAAGGGCTACAGCTGAATTCATGGAAGCTTGGAATAAGGCTGCAGCAAGAGTGCCATCTATTCAAACCACCATGTACCAGCTCTCAGGAACAACAGCAGCTGCTGCTCCCCAAGCAGCAGGATCTACACCCCAGTTTACTCCATCGGTTGAACAAGCTACTGCTGAGTTCATGAAGACATGGAATGCTGCTGCTGCTGCCGCTGCAGCTGCTCCTGATGTCAATATCATCATGGGTGCTAGCTCACGTCCCCAATCTGTTGGTACCTACTCTGCCCCTTCTTACACTCCAGCTGC